TTTCATGTAGAATTTTTCACATTTAATTTCCAACATTTAATTATCAGGTTTAATCAGAATCAGGTGTGACGTTTCAATTCCAAGTTAAATGTTTTATTTTCATGTGCAGTGTCTTCATATCAGTTGAAGTTTTTACATTTTAGCTTTAATATTTCAACTTGGTTATTTAAATGTCCGTTTTAATATTGTAATTTGTTTTGCAATATTTCATTCTAACGTGTCCAGAATCTCGTTATAACGTTTGATTTTACTTTACTGCCTCTGAATCGTTGCCAGTTTTTCTGCTCTAGTCTTGTTTTGGCGACCTGATCCTGTTCATAGAACTGCATCGTGTTTATGTTCTACTGCTTTTCTGTTGGGTTCATTCTGTCGCGTTGTTTGTTTCTGGGCAACACGTGACGCTAGAACCTCCTTTGGGGTTCTTAAATCTTGTCATCATGTGTTGACGCTGAACGCCATGTTGTCCATCCTCAGGAGACCACGCCCCCGCCGCTGACCGACACCATGTCTCCAGAGGAGGTACGGTACCCGATCGATCCCTCAAATCGCTGCGATCGATAATTAGAAACTCTGTCCACTCTGAGCCTGTGCCCTCCTCTGATTGGCTGCTGCAGATCAAAGCCTGGGAGGAGGCCGAGCTGGACAAACCCGTCGATATGGAGCAGATACGTATCGACCCGTCGCCGTTCCAGCTGGTGGAGAGAACGTCGCTGCACAAGGTGTTGTCATCGTCACGCACTCACGACGCACGATAACGTTTTAGAATTTCAAAAAGCAGATTTTAAAGAAGTAGTTTGAGATTTTAAGAAGTCGTGGAGATAATACTGAACTAACTCTGCACCTTTAAAGCACAGTTTATATGTTTTTATCTTATTTATTATGAAAACTGCAGCATTAAAGCTGCAGTGTGGAGCTTTTGTCGCCCCCTGCTGGCAGTGAGAGAAACTACACAAACACGAATGTCTGTTTTTCTGACTGTAATTCTTCTGCAGCATCAGGAAATAGTAAAAACTTTTATTTTACAGAATATCTTTGTTTTGTTGAAATCATAGAAAGTGTGTTTTTATTTAAATTTTAAAAAAAAAAGAAAACAGGTCAAAACTGTAAATAATGTCCACAAAATTATACTAAACTGTTAATTTATTCTTTTACATGTGACTGTAAAATAACGGTTTTCTTTTACTATATTTAAATCAGCAAAAATAGAATCAATAAATTAAAAAAATGTTTGTTTTTTACTGTATTTTTAAAAATATTCATTTGTTTTTCCACAACATTTGACTGTAAAATTACAATAATTTTACTTAATTCAGCAAAATTATAATTATTTTACAGATATATCTATATCTATATTTGAAAGGAAAAAATATATATATTCAGGATCGAAAGGCTTTTCTTTTTTTAATTTGTAAAAATTACTATTAAAAAAATTAATAAAAAGAATTAAAAATAAAAAGAATACAATTGAAAAAAAAAGAATTAAAGATTTTAAATCTGTATTTTTAGGAGCAGCAGTTTGTTCTTCCACATTTTATTGTAAAATTACAATAATTTTTTACTGTATTTAAATCTGCAAAAAAAAATATTTATTTTACAGACCTTTGCTGTCTGAATTTTTTTTTAATTGTCATCATTACCATTTCCAACAGAAAAATGTAATTAAATTAATAAAAAGAATAATGATTTGTTTTGTTTTTTTTAACTCTGTATTTTCAGAAATAGTTGTTTGTTCTTTCAAAACATTTGATTTCAAAATTACAAAACCTTTTACTATATTTAAATCTGAAATAAGTCTAATTATTTTAAAGATATTTGCTGTTGTTTGAAGAAAAAAATATGTACATTAAGGATTGAAAATACATTTTTTTTATACTATTATTTTACAGGTTTCCCCATTTTGTAAATAACAGATAACAGCTAAAATAAAATCACAGAAAAAAAATACGTCAGCTAAACAGAAACAGGAGAAAAATCTGCGGTTTTGTGGTTCAGAGAGTCGATGTGTTCTGGTCTGATTAACCTGGTGTAAAAATAAAAGCATGACTGGGTTGCGTGATGGGAGACGTAGGCTCCAGTGACTCCAACAGAGTCAGCTTGCATCATATCTTTCCTCTGTTGCTCGTGTCTGAGTAACGGAGCTGTGACGGAGCGTTTAACACTGACTGGATCTCTGTCCCACTCAGACCCACACTCTGTTCTCCCTGCTGGGCCTCAGTCACGCCTACGTCACCAGCATCGGGAAGCTGGTGGGAGTCGTGGCTCTGAAAGAGGTAAACTCACAGCTTCTGCCTCTCCTATCTGCATGTTTTCTGTCACCTTGGCGTGATCCGGTACCGTGGCCCGATGATCTCACGCCGTGGGCGGTCGCTCTGTCGTCGTTCTTCACACTCTGATTCATGCAGTCGGTCCATTAGCCGCCTTCACAGTCATTTACATGTTCGCTCACTAAAAACGCTGCCGTGCTTTACGGTGAGTGTTATATCACTGTAATGTCACCTAAATGTCAAACGATTCTGAACCGCATCAGCTCTCAGTGAATGTTTTATTTATAGGCTGAATGTTTCCTCTGATGAACAATCGACAGCAAATTGTTCAGAAAGACGATGCTGGAAACTCAAAGTAGAAACTGTGATCACTGAAACTAAACTGAGTGCAGCTG